CAGGAAGGACCTGCCACCTGACGTGCTACTCATGTACTCACGAGCCTGTGTTTGTATGGAAAGCAGCGATGTGTGTATGTTCTCGTTCATACCACGCATGGGAAGAGAAGGTTACGAGTACTAATCACTACTCTTTTGCGACACCAACTTCCATCCACAAATCACAGTGCATTTCTGCAGTAAATCAACTGCAATGCACTCAGTGCTGTGCTGGAACTATTTCACGGAATCCATATAAGACAGAGTAAGTAAAACCAGCTGCCTTGCCAGGCACTGTGCCAAATGCCCTAACTGTGCTATCTCATTGAAACGCCCCTGAAACTCATGAGAAAATTCTGCTTCACCAATGAGAAAAGTGAGGTTTAGAAAAGTACATTCTCAAGTTGCAGAAAATAAAATTAGGACTGCCATCCAAGTCTTTAATGCATGAAATGACCTATTCAAGTAAGACCAAAGTAATGTAGAGACCGGTACATTAGAATCACTGGGGAGATCTGAAATAACCCACTGAAGAAATTGAGAGCAACAGGGCTGAAGGACAGACTCAGTATTTCTAAAGAATTTTCCTCAGGGCCAGGTGTGGTGACTCATACCTGTAATCCCAGCAGTTTGGGAGGCTGAGGTGGGAGGATAACTTGAAGCCAAGAATTTGAGACCAGCCTGGGCAACACATTAAGACCCGGTGTCTACAAAATAATAAATAAGCTGGTATAGTGGCTCAGTCTGTAGTCCCAGCTACTCAGGAGGCTGAGGCAGGAGGATCACTTGAACCTAGGAATCAGAAGTTACAGTGAGATATGATTACACCACTGTACTCCAGCCTGGGTAACAGAGCAAGACCCTGTCTCTAAAAACAAAATAAAATTTAAGTTTTTTTTTTTTGAAACAGAGTCTTGCCGTATCACCCAGGCTGGAGTGCAGTGGCATAATCTTTGCTTACCGAAACCTCCGCCTCCCAGGCTCAAGCAATTCTGGTGTCTTGGCCTCCCAAGTAGCTGGGAGTACAGGTGTGCACCACAAGCCCAGCTAATTTTTGTATTGTAGTAGAGATGGGGTTTCGCCACGTTGGCCAGGCTGGTCTTGAACACCAGGCCTCATGTGATTCACTCACTTCAACCTCCCAAAGTGCTGGGACTACAGGTGTGAGCCACCATACCTGGCCAA